GGTTCCGCGAGGTGCGGTACCGGGGCATGTTCCACGCGCTCTTCCGCATCTGCCGCGAGGAGGGAGGACGGGCCCTGTACTCGGGGTGAGCACCGGGACCATCGGCACAGGGACCCCGTCGGGATAGGGGCCCATCTGTACCGGCATTCCCATCGGCACCGGGACCCATCGGGACAGGGACCCATCCCATCGGCACCGGGCTCCATCCATCCCGAGACCCCCATAAGCCACGGGTCCTTCCCATCCACCCTGTCCCCCCCCAGTCCATCCGCACCGCGACTCCCCTACCGGGACCAGGACCCCCCATCCGCCCTGGGCCCCGCGATCCACCCCGGGAACCCCCCTGCATCCGTGCCCCCATCTGCTACGGGTCTTCCACCAGGCCTGGCGTTTCCTTCCACCCACCCTGGGCTTCCCCACTGCCCACCGCGGGTCCTTCCTCCCTGCCCCACCATCTCTCACCGCTTGTCCTGGGCCACCCTTCGGTCACAGCATCATCCCCGCCATCCTGTCTGCCCCCCGAGCCCATCCCAGTTTCCCCCCCTCCACTCTGGCATCCTCCTCTGCCTTCCCGAGGTCCTCCCGGGTCCCCCCACCCATCCCAGGTCCTTCCCCTCTGCCCACCCTAGCCCCTGCTTCTGTCCTGGCACCCCCTCCCCATCCCGGGCTTCCTCTTCCACCTTCTATCCTGGCATCTGCCCTGTCCATCCTAGTTCCCCCCTCCCCTTTGCCCATCCCAGCCCGCTCCCACTCCTTGCATGGCACTGTGACCCCTGAGATCCCACCCAGCCCTGAGCCCTGGGGCCGGGGCAGTGGAAACTCCCCGTTTTCCCGAGATGAGGAGCAAGGCCAGCGCTGTGTGGATGCCAACCCCTGGCACAGTGGGGGGCAATCCCAGCAGTTATCCCGGGCACTGGAGCCATGGCAGCGACATGCCTGGTCCTCAGCAGTTTGGGGGCTGGTGGGAAGCTGGCACACAGGGGTGCTCAGGGATTGTTCCCCCTCAGGATCGCCCCGGCACTGCTGAGACAGGCATCCTATGGCACCATCAAGATCGGGATCTACCAGAGCCTGAAGCGGCTCTTCGTGGATCGCATGGAAGGTCAGTATCAGGGAATGGGGCAGCAGGGGCACCTCCCAGCTCACTGATCCTACACTCTCTTGTATGTTCTGCTCATTCCCTGCTCTGTCCTTCCCACCTCGAGATTCCCCCAGGCGTGGAGCTCTGTTACTGGGCGCTGTGGTTTTGGTTGTCAGTGGTGGCATGGATCAGTTTCAATCCCAGTGGGAACCCGTGATCCCTACCCAAGCACCTCCCTCCAGCCAGGTCCTTCCTTTCATGGAATCATAGGAGAATCCCAGAATCATTTAGGTTGGAAAAGAGCTTCAAGGCTATCAAATCCAACCTGTGCCCAATGCCCACCTTGTTGCCCAGCCCAGAGCACTGAGTGCCATGTCCAGTCCTTCCTTGAATACCTCTAGGGATGAGGACTCCACCACCTCCCTGGGCAGCCCCTTCCAATGCCTGACAGCTGTTTCCATGAAGAAATTCTTCCTAATGTCCAACCTGACCCTCCCCTGGCACAACTTGGGGGAGTCCTCTCGTTCTGTTAAACCTTTATCTCTGCTTTGCACCTCGGAGCCAGAAAAAAATCATCCAGTTCCGCCCCCCTGCTGTGGGTAGGGACACCTTCCACTATCCCAGGCTGCCCCAAGCCTTGTCCAACCTGGCCTTGAACATTTCCAGGGATGGGGCAGCCACAGTTTATCTGGGCAACATTTGGATTGGGATTTTGTGACTCAGCTCTGTAGCTTTGGCCCTGACTTAGAGGTGAGATGCCCCCAGTGCCCTTGACCCATACCCTCTGCTCAAGAGGCCTCTGCAGCTCCTCCCGGGGCAGTGGGGCAGCAGGAGTCTGGTGGATGCTGCCTGAGGGAGCACTGAGATCTGCAGGGGTGATTTTTGTCCCTGGGGTGACAGGAGGGAATGTTGTAACACCATTCCAACCTGGGAAAGCAGGGTGGGCGGACGAGATGCAGCACACTAATGGCATGGAACTGTGTCAGGGGAGGTTTAGGTGGGATATCAGGAAAAGTTCTTCCCCCAGAGGGTGGTTGGGCACTGAACAGGCTCCCCAGGGCAGTGGTCACGACTCCAAGGCTGCCAGAGCTCCAGGAGCATTTGGACAGTGCTCTCAGGGACTTGTTGGGGTGTCCTGGGCAGGGCCAGGAGTTGGACTCGATGATCCTGGTGGATCATCCAACTCAGGAGATGCTGTGGTTCACTAGAGCTCCTTTCCAGGGTTGCTCTGTCCTCAGTAATGTCTCTCCCTGCTCCAGTAACGCCTCTCCCTGCCTGGTTCTGTCCATGTACACAGGCCCCTCCTCGCTGTTCCAGCCTTTCCAGCTGTGAGCTCCGTGCCTGAATGTTTGTCTCCCTACAGGCCTGGGGCAGCCAGTGGCCTGGTCTCCTCTGGGAAGTGTCGTGGTCAGTACCAGCAAAGTGCTGTGCCTTTTCCCAACGTAACCATCATCCTAATACTGGGCCTGGAAGTCTCAGGTTATTCCCTGGAACTAATCCCATCTAACTCCCCACCTGGTCCCAGTCCTCAGCTGGCTCTGGGTGGCTGCATGGTCTCACTGGAGCCAAAACCATTTGGTATCAGGTGGCCTCGAGAAGTGCTGGGTTGTCCCTCTCTGTCTCCCTCTGTCCTGGCTTGTCCCTATCATGAGAAATGCATCACTGGACACTGAAATCTCAGATAATTGTTCACAATTTTCACGTGTCTCGTGATTTTCCTTCTCATCAGTCAGACCTGCCCCTCTGAGAGAGTGAGTTGCCGAGTGTCCCAGCTGCCACCTCCTGTCCCTGGCAGGTGTGGGGACAGACCTGCCACGAGCCGTGGCACCTGCCCAGCCCCTGCTCCTGCAGCTTCACTGTGAGATTTGAGAGCTGAGCTGCTCTGCTCTTCCCAGCCCTTGTTCCATCCCACCTGTGCCCCTTCCCGTGAGGTCTGTAGGGTCTGACCTTCTTCCCTTGCTTGCAGATGAAACGTTGCTCCTCAATGTGATCTGTGGGGTGGTCTCGGGGGTCATCTCCTCTGCGCTGGCCAATCCCACAGATGTGCTGAAGGTAAGGACAGCTCCTGGCCAGCACTTGGCTGGCTGTGGGACCTGTGGGAGGTGCAGCTCAGTGCTCCCTGAGCCACCAGTTCTGCTAATTTGGGCTTTTCTAATAAATGGAGACGGAAGCCCAGAGCAATTAACAGCAAAAAGCACAGCTCTTAAAGATCACAGAATCCCAGAAGGGTTTGGGTTGGAAGGGACTTTAAAGCTCATCTTGTCCCACTTCCCTGACGTGGGCAGGGACACCTTCCACTGTCCCAGGTTGCTCCAAGCCCCGTCCAACCTGGCCTTGGACACTTCAGGGATGGGGCAGCCACAGCTTCTCTGGGCAACAAAGGTCATGAAATTTGCTGTGGTGAAGGATGGATGCTGCCTTATCCAACCTGGGCAAGGTGAGCAGGTGGCAGCCAGATGTTCCTCACACCTGCCCTGCTGCTCTCCCCTTGGTCATTGTGCTGGCACTGCCTGTTACGTGGAGTGGGCAGAGCCCAGTGGGGACTGCCTGATGCCCTGGAGTCAGGGTAGCCCTGCTCTGGGCTGAGAGAGCCTGGAGAACTTCCCTATGCTTCTCCCTGAGTAGATCCACCTTCTTAGGCTGCTTCCAGGGCAGGAAGGCCTCATCCTTCATGTCCCTGTGCTCCCACCCCTCTGCTCTCCCTGCTCCTTGCCTGCTGCCATCATTGGCTGCATGGTTTGCAGGGAGAGAGACGTGGAGAGCAGTGTCAGCTGTGAGCTGCTCTGTGTTCCTGCTCCCAGGAGTTCCATGGAGCTGGTATCCCCGGTGTCCCTGCCCTCTGGGGCAGGTGCTGATGTCAG